TGCCCATTGTCCCTTTAGCTTGCTAATGAGGCGAGCTATGACAAAACTTTTATTACAACCGGTATTCCGCAGTAGATTGCTGTAATAAGGTGCGGATCCATTCCATTATATTGGTCAAGATGGGCATGCCCACATAATTACCTCGTACTTGTGACGTCACACTCACGGTCCATCAAGATGAAAAGTACGTCTTCGAACAAAGGCCTCCTCTTAAACCTTCCACCGGCTTTTATTCGCAGCCACATTCACACCCAGTTTATTCCAGCTTGTTGCCGGATGTCATCTGTCCATCTTTTAGGCGGTCTTCCTCTGCCATTGAATCGGAAATCGATTGTAGAAGTGGCTGTAACCTCACCCTTTGTTTAGCACTGGTTGTAGCGTGATAATGTGTCGCAGGCATGTACAACACGGACAGCGGCGTGGGCGACAGCGCGGACGGCGTGTCGCGGCTGCGGCAGGCCTACGCCGCGCGCAAGCTCAGCGACTCATTCCACCACCTCAGCGAGCTGGCGCTGCAGAGGTACACCGCCAATACTTCCAAGAACACTTTCTTTCCCGAGTTAAACCCGGCCTCTTCAAGGCGAAAGTGAATAAGCTGACACGGCAGGTATGTTCCATCCTAGATATCTCACCTAACAGGTGTGGGTGACCTGGTTTGTGCTGCATAAAAAAATGTTTATAAAATACTTCAACTCCCTCTTGATGTATGCTGCCCAAATTAAAAGAAATTATTTTTTATTTCGATTTTAGTAGCTTCGAAGTCACGTACGTGTCAAGTGAACCCTGTCAGTTTATACGTACGTGACTTCAGTATGCAACCTATGGATTATTTGGGGCTTGGCCAGCTGGTAGCGGTTTGCAATTCTGCATCCAGCTACCTTAATAAGGCGTCGGTCCACTTAGTGGGTGAACGTCCCACAGTACATTGTCCGGTACGCGGCCTCCAGAACCTTGCTGCCTCAACGGCCGTCAGTTCCCATGCCCTGCCCATTGCCACTTCAGCTTGCTTCCTTGGGATATTATGTCATCGACTTTAGTTCGTTTACGGATCATTTCATTTCTGATTCGATTTCGTAAAGAAACAATGAGAACTTGATTTTTTTTATGCATAACAAGACAGGTTTTTGACCACAATCGCACTTAATATTAAGTGGGATGCAGTCTAGAATGGTACATATCTGCCCTGTAAGTGCCTATTCACTCTCGCCTTGAAAAGGCCCGGATTATAGTCTTCGGGAAAGGCAGGCAGCGAATTGCAGCGAAAAGCGATTGGATGAGGAGTTGTTACATGTGTTGTTATGCGACAGGGATCCTGAAAAGCGGCCGTCAGCGACACAGCTACTGGCACACGCGTTCTTCCGGCAGATCCGCCGCAGCGACTACCTGCCCGGCCTGCTGGGCCGCGTCAAGCCCATCAAGCCCGACCCCAGTGAGTGCCCATGTTTGAACAAAACTACGCCTGTACCTTAACTGCCTCTGTGATCTAGACCACCTGATTCAGACGCAGTGGTTGTGATCTATACGACCTGATTATGAACCAGTAGTTCATGAAGCCCGACCCCAGTGAGTACTTACGTTATAACAAAATTACGTCTAATTAGTCTAGCTAGACCACCTGATTCAGCCCCAGTGGCCACAATTCAACTAAGACGTTCACAACTGGACAACGGGTTTTTTTCCGTCAGGATATGAGTTGCATATGGAGCGAATTGTAAAAAAGATCCGTACCAAAGAGTGAATGACTCTTGATTCTATTCTAGCCGATGGGGACGAATTATGTGGCTATCACCACAAGATGGGTGGAGCCTGCCCTCTAAAACCCGACATTGTTCTCCAATGAAACGGAACCGCTGGACAAAGGCTTCCCCTAAGAATTTCCACAACGACCAGTCTTGCGCTTCCCGCGACATTCACTGGATCATCGATCCACCGAGTGAGAGGCCCGTCTACAATACATCTAAAGTGACCTACTTAACTTGACCCGTCCTCTGCCCTTTATGTTTGGCAATTCTGCTGGCTATGTCAGTTACATAGATCGTCAATTTTATTACAGCGTTTGAAAATTGTTATTGAAATAAAAAAGATAAATGTTTTTGGAAATACATCTCTCATGCATAAAAGACATAACAAACTTGCTTCCATAAGTCTGTATTTCTTTACTCCAGACGATATATCAGCGCTGCTCCTTCAACAGAAGATGTCAGAAATGGAGATTGAGAAGACGACCGAATGGGACTTCTGATGGAGAACTACACCAGAGGTATGTCTCGATGTTTACAGTGTTCCTTTGTTCTTGTGACCCTATCGTAATTGGAAAGTTACCTAAAGGTTCGGCCAAACCAACGCGATCAGCCTGCGTGCGCGATGGCAATCAATGCGTTGGTTTGGCCGAATCTTTAGGTAAGAGAAGAGAGAATTTTAAGGCCTCTCGGTCGCGTACTACCTCAAAATAATTATAAATGTACATCATACCAATGTGCCTCTAATAAATTGTCAATGTATATTAACCAAACGTATTAAATCGCGATACCCTGTCAAAATTAAAATCCTTGTAAAATGTCAATATGACCATAAGCAGGAATTTTGACATACATTGCATTTACCTATTTTATTTTTGCAATTTTTATTCAATATTTAAAGCGACAGAGATGTTATAACACAGTTTTACTCACCTGTTCAAAATCTACTTCTATCTTATTAATAATAATAATTCTTTTTATCCTGGAACTTTGGCTCTCCACAAAATAATGTATCGCACTGTAAACAGATAATAAAAATAATTTAAAACTTGCCAGGAACCGTAAACATCGAGGCTATATAAATAAATAAAATAAATAAATAGATGTGATTAGGGTAATAAATTATATTTTAACTAGTGTCCGACCGAATATGGATTTTCAGCCGAAAACGGAAACGAAAACGAAGCTTCGGCCGCAGTCTCATTTTCGGCCGAAAACGAAAACGAAAACGAAAATGACCTTCAAATGTCAAATTTCAATCTGTGATCAAATATTATCTTGTAAACAATATGAAATTATGTAAAAACTTTGAAAACCGTTAATGTTTTGACCAAAAACATACTGAATAGGGTGGTCCTTATTCCTATAAAAAAAATTTTTTTTCTTATATTTTGCGGGGCACCACGTAATTTGAATATATACCATATGAAAGTCTTTCATTATTTTTTTTTTAATTTTTAAAAGACATTTAGGGGTCGCTACCAAGGTTTGAATTTTAAGTAAAAACACAAAATCTGTATTTGTTAGATTCATTTATTTTTAGCCAAAGCCAAATAAAAATGTTACAAAATTATTGTTGTTTCTATGAACTAAGATATTATGTACAATATACATTATTTGAATCAATTATTTTTAAGATATAAGAGTTTACTTGTTAGTATCTCGACGCGTCGGTACCATGGTCGGTACAGAAGAGGGGTTGAGGGGAGAAGGGGACAAGAAGCGACTGTCTATTTCATCTATGCGATGTTCATTTGCACCTAAAATGTGATATAAACACTTAAATAAAACATTTATGAAACCATGATTTAAGATCTTCAAAGCTTTTGTAAATATTTTGACAGCTGGTAGCGACCTCTAAATCTTAACCAAAAAAAAAACAAAAAAAGCTAATTTCATATTTAGAGGTATATAATCGAATGAGAAAGTGCCCCGGGGAGAATTCAAAAGTCGAAAAATAAGGACCACCCTAATACTGAAGTATGATAGTCGATTTTGATAAGGATTGATTAAAGAAATTAAACACAAAAAATTTAAGATATTATTTTGAATTCTTAGTAGAATGTTATTTCCGGTGTGTATTGGAATATTGGGAAGTGAAGAAGAAATAAGGGTGTCAAGTGGGAATTTTTCAACTTCAAAAATGAATACAAATAAATCTAATGATTTTTTATTATTTATTACTAATGCAAACTGGAGTTTAACTAACAATGCGGATTTAATTTTTTATAGGCAATGTCGTTTAAATGACGCCCGTTTTACTCTAGGCACTCTCACAGCCGGACCCTTACATTCGCAACTATGCGAGAGCAAATTGCGCTAATAATTTTTCTGCAACTTCACGGCGGATATTTTCTTACAGAACCTGAATTATTTAAGGATTGTTTGCTGTAAACTTTTGACTTGAGATATCCCCACAAGAAAAAGTCGCATGGTGTGTGATCTGGTGATCGAGGCGGCTAGAGTATGTACTTGCTGATCAAATATTTAAAAAAAAAATAGTCCTCAGTATCTCCATTGAGGATCTGTCCGTGTGTGGTGAGACACCTTTTTGCTGAAATAGAGTTCCGTAGTTGTCCGGGATGCAGTTGCAGTTGTGGTATCAGACATTCATCGATCATTCGACAATACAATTGACTTGTTGATTTATGCAAATTCCGCATAATTTCGTCTTGAACTTGGGCCACCCGTTTGGCGTCACTACTGAGTTTGATGGGTTTGGAGGAATTCTGTGGACGACTTCTTTCTTGCTTGAACTTTTGCACTCACGATGAGGTAAGTTGTTGATATGATGCTTGCGCCGTCATTCAATCGCTGAATATTGAAATTAGTACGAAAAGCGCGACGCACTCGATCCATGGTTCGTCGCATTTCAAATACTTATTGCTCAACTGCGAAAAGTCTGTAGGCTCCCGACTAGTGACTAATGGTGTATTTCAAATCTGCATTAGACTCTATTTTGAAACAATTAAACTTAATTGAAACTCTTTGGTTTTATTTGTATTCAATTTTGAACTTGGATAAAGATATTGGAACGATAAACATCACCATCTTATTCACGTATTTCTGGTATTCGGTTTGGCCGAAGCTTCGGCTGGTTTTTGGCCGAAAACGAAAATATGGCCGAATGTCCATTTTTTGGCCGAAAATGGCCGAAAACGAAAACGAAAACGAATATTCGGTCGGTCACTAATTTTAACATAATTATTAAATATTATCTAGATGACATAGATGTTGCCACTGTGATTAATAAACAAATGATTGTTAAATTCCTGATTATTATTTTAACTTAATAACTAATATTTTATAAATGCTTTAATGAAACAAAATATTAACGCAAGCTTAACTACTAGCTGGCCCTGTGACGATAAAAACGAGTAAATTGTATAGGTAACCCATCATTATCGCAAGTTCGAGACAAAAATTTTCATTTTCGCGTTTTGCATGAAATACTGAGTATTTTAAAATAGTCTTTTTATAAACATTTTCATTTACAAGAGTATTCCACGAAAAAAAAAGCTAGTCATGTTACAGACCATCAGCATATTATATTATTGTTCCGTGGGCGTGGTAAAATGTGCTATATGCTTTTAGCGATAGTGTCGAAGATCGCTCGCAACCTATTATGTTATTGGTCCGTGGGTGTGGTAAAATGTGCTATATGCTTTTGGCAATAATGTCGAAGATCGCTCGCAACCTATTATGTTATTGTTCCGTGGGTGCGGTAAAATGTGCTATATGCTTTTGATAGTGTCGAAGATCGCTCGCAACCTATTATGTTCTTGGTCCATGAGTGTGGCAAAATGTGCTATATGCTTTTAGCAATAATGTCGAAGATCGCTCGCAACCTATTATGTTCTTGGTCCATGAGTGTGGTAAAATGTGCTATATGCCTTTGCCATTAGTGTCGAAGATCGCTCGCAGCCTATTATGTTCTTGGTCCATGAGTGTGGTAAAATGCGCTATATGTTTTAGCAATAATGTCGAAGATCGCTCGCAACCTATTATGTTCTTGGTCCGTGGGTGTGGTAAAATGTGCTATATGTTTTTAGCAATAATGTCGAAGATCGCTCGCAACCTATTATGTTATTGGTCTATGAGTGTGGTAAAATGTGCTATATGGTTTTGGCAATAGTGTCGAAGATCGCTCGCAACCTATTATGTTCCTGGTCCATGAGTGTGGTAAAATGTGCTATATGTGTTTAGCAATAATGTCAAAGATCCTTCGCAACCTATTATGTTATTGGTCCGTGGGTGCGGTAAAATGTGCTATATGCTTTTGGCGATAGTGTCGAATATCGCTTGAAGCCACACGGCCGCAGCGCGCGCGCCCGCGTCTTCGTCCCTCGTGTATTCGCTAGCCACATACGAGGCGCGGCCCGCCCTGGAACAATGTGGATTAAATACAGGGTGAGCCAAAAATATTTGCAAAAGCAACGCTTAATTTCTCAAAAATGGTTCGAGGTAGGGACGCGTGGATGATAGGAAACTGTATATTATTCGGCATGTGACGATGCACAGCATCTGGTGAGAGATGCGTCTACTTCCGGTGTAGTTTTTTACCTTTTTATACCTTAAATGACGTCATTTCCGCAATTATTTAATAGGAATTGATTTGACTTACTTCCGTTTGCCGCCATTTTAGTCACCTGGGGGCGAGCTTGCTCGGAGTTCTTCATAGCGTCTTTAACTTCCAAACTAGCAACATCGTAAGCAGAAACTCTGCTCAGATTTTTACTGAAATAATTTATTTCTCAAGGTTCTTATACTAAGTTTAAAATTAAAAAGTGCAATTGACCGCGCGTGTGTGACCACGAACGACATGTACGTGATGGTGGTTGGCGCAAAAGGGGACGAGTGTCTTCCGGACGACGAGCAGGTGGACCCAGAGCGTCGGATACCGGAGAAACTCTGACCCCGGCGAGATTCAAAACGGATGAAACGAGGTACGTGGGATTCTGATAGCTTTAACANCCGGTGTGTATTGGAATATTGGGAAGTGAAGAAGAAATAAGGGTGTCAAGTGGGAATTTTTCAACTTCAAAAATGAATACAAATAAATCTAATGATTTTTTATTATTTATTACTAATGCAAACTGGAGTTTAACTAACAATGCGGATTTAATTTTTTATAGGCAATGTCGTTTAAATGACGCCCGTTTTACTCTAGGCACTCTCACAGCCGGACCCTTACATTCGCAACTATGCGAGAGCAAATTGCGCTAATAATTTTTCTGCAACTTCACGGCGGATATTTTCTTACAGAACCTGAATTATTTAAGGATTGTTTGCTGTAAACTTTTGACTTGAGATATCCCCACAAGAAAAAGTCGCATGGTGTGTGATCTGGTGATCGAGGCGGCTAGAGTATGTACTTGCTGATCAAATATTTAAAAAAAAAATAGTCCTCAGTATCTCCATTGAGGATCTGTCCGTGTGTGGTGAGACACCTTTTTGCTGAAATAGAGTTCCGTAGTTGTCCGGGATGCAGTTGCAGTTGTGGTATCAGACATTCATCGATCATTCGACAANATTGGTCCGTGGGTGCGGTAAAATGTGCTATATGCTTTTGGCGATAGTGTCGAATATCGCTTGAAGCCACACGGCCGCAGCGCGCGCGCCCGCGTCTTCGTCCCTCGTGTATTCGCTAGCCACATACGAGGCGCGGCCCGCCCTGGAACAATGTGGATTAAATACAGGGTGAGCCAAAAATATTTGCAAAAGCAACGCTTAATTTCTCAAAAATGGTTCGAGGTAGGGACGCGTGGATGATAGGAAACTGTATATTATTCGGCATGTGACGATGCACAGCATCTGGTGAGAGATGCGTCTACTTCCGGTGTAGTTTTTTACCTTTTTATACCTTAAATGACGTCATTTCCGCAATTATTTAATAGGAATTGATTTGACTTACTTCCGTTTGCCGCCATTTTAGTCACCTGGGGGCGAGCTTGCTCGGAGTTCTTCATAGCGTCTTTAACTTCCAAACTAGCAACATCGTAAGCAGAAACTCTGCTCAGATTTTTACTGAAATAATTTATTTCTCAAGGTTCTTATACTAAGTTTAAAATTAAAAAGTGCAATTGACCGCGCGTGTGTGACCACGAACGACATGTACGTGATGGTGGTTGGCGCAAAAGGGGACGAGTGTCTTCCGGACGACGAGCAGGTGGACCCAGAGCGTCGGATACCGGAGAAACTCCTGGTATTACTAATCTAAAACTATATTAAAGATAACTTTAATTTTCTTACTAAGCATAAAAGCTTAACCAATTTCATTTCCTGATAAAGGCCTTAAACCCAACAGTAGGTATCTAAAATGTGACCTTTACGAGGCTTCTCGCAGACTAGCTTATGTATATTTTTCTCCTACCAACTACATCAGCTGCTGACATGACAAAACATAGTCTCACCTGAATAATTTCAAGATTAAGTTCGGCACCGTTACGGCATCATACAAAAAACTGGGAAAAATGACAGCAAATCCCAAAAAACAACATAGGTATGCCCTTTTTACAA